GAACGTTGATTTTCTGCGCAGTGTCTGCTTGTTGTTTATTTTAACTGGGCCAATCAGCAAGCAGAAGGCGGAGTTTTGAACGACGTCGATTTTCTGCCCAGTGTCTGCTAGTTATTTTAGCGTACGGCAGTGGAGGAAGTGAACGAAGCCAGTTTGTGTTGATAAGGCTTCAAATTAAATTAAATCTGTCGGACAAAGCAGCARYTCTCATTTACAGTCGTCTCGTTCGGCTCSGYACTTCTCTCCTCTCAGCAGGGTTGTTTACAGCACACGCGATTTCCGGTTAGCTTCTTAGCTTAGCCTCCTTCACAGCGACACACACACATACTTCAACAGAGGCCACGCCTCCTGCAAGAATTTCTTCTCTGTAACAGTGATTCCAGACCCTCGTACAAAGCAAAGTGAAGGACAAGGGTCTGGTTTTTACCAGGCTAGATATTCTGACCAGACCGGCCTAAAATAAACACATCGCCTTTACAACAAAACCGTTTGAACATTATATTTTAAATCAAGACATAAACGGTCGACTGAGGCCAAAGTCCATCAATTTGAGCTTTTCTCCCACTTCTTTAAAGCAGTGCTGTTCAATCCTGGAGGGCCACTATCCTGCAGGTTTGAGCTGCTCCTCATTTGCTCAGCAGGTCTTCAGGTTCTGCAGAGGACGGTTGTTCACTCATTCATTCAAACCTGCAGGGTAGTGGTCCTCAGGGACCAGGATCTGAACTGCTTCACCTAATATCAGTAAAACTTTTTTCCCACGAAAAACACTTACATTTAGAGTTTAGTCAGTTTAAAAAGTTTTATGTCTTCATAGTTACTTATATGACGACTGCTTTTACGCTGAAAGATTACTCAAAATTCCCTGAAACGTTTTTACGGGAAACTCCGAATACTGATTGGCGACACAAAGTCTGAAAACCTGCAGGATAAAAGCAGCCGAACCGTCTTTTTTTCCACTTTACTGTGTTTTTAAAGGTGTTTCTGCTAAGATGGTCCAGATCATTGACTGTACTGGGCTGTGGGAAGTAGGGGTGCGAGGTGTGCTGAAGCACACCCTGATGGATGCTGAAGGGCGTGCACGTCGAAATGCTTCCAGTAGCTGTGTTTCCACCAATTAATTTTTTGAAGTAGCGSTGCAGAAAAGCCGGATGGAAACGGCAAAATACGCAAAAACGTCAACTTCGCAAAAAAGTTTTTACGCTCATTTGAGGTTTTTAGATTTCCTGAAAAAGAGTTAGTGTGCAAAAGTAAAGACGGAAACACACCGATATAAATTTTGACGTAACAAACATTTACCTCGATCAGCTGTTCCTGCTGTCCAATAATCGTAGAGGCTGCAGCTGGCCCCTCCTCCTGCTGTCGGCGTCTTCCCAGATATTCCCGTAATGTGAAGAGAATTACGTTTTTTTTCTACGTCTCCAGACAGCAGTAACACCACCAACACTAGTTAATATGACAGAATAATTACAACTTTCCTGATAACAGCAAYACGATCCTGATAACTTCTCTCYGTCGTCCTGAGAAGTGTCCCTGTGGGTTTGAGATTTTACTTCCTGTTTACTACAGACATGCGTAAYGTCAACGTTTGATGTAATTACAATGGTTGATTCACTCCAAGCGATGTGGAAACACATCAGCGCATTTCTTTTTTTGCGACATTTTAAAAATTTGCTCAAAACGCGCGTTAAAGTTGTACGGAAACACGAGCTACTGTATGAAAAAATTAAAAAWTGAACGAAATAAAAACAGGTTTTATTAGTGCTGTGCGTGTTTAAATCTTAATTTGATATTAGTGAGTGGAAGAAATGTTCAAATTAAGAGTTTGCATTAAACCCAGGAAACTGATCCAGTTAAAGTTGATCCTCTCAGAGGTGTAATGGTGACCCCGACGTGACGCATTTAAAAACCAATAAAAATCAATCAAATATCTATCAGTGAGCTTCGTAAAGCTGATATTTAAGTACAAACACGACTTCAAGCTCAGATTACAAACAGAACAGACAAAGAAAAACCCCCAGACATACACACAAAACAGGTCTTTGACAACTACATTTATTAAAAATAGGAAACAAAACAAACCCAGAAGAATTAAAAGCATTCAACATCCCACACCAGAGAGGAGACGGCTGCTCGTTTTAAAAACCAGCCCACTGTTGATCTAGCAGCATCCAAATGTTGGAATTTCCAAAACCATCATTTATATATTTAAATAAAGATTTCTGTTGTTGCGCACTTATTTTTTGTTTGTTGTTTTGTTTTACTTTTGTTGCCCGGGAAAGCTACAAGGTTTTCTACAACCACAGAACTTTACCTCTCCTTGTGCAGAAAAAAACAAACAAACAAAAACAAATAAACCCTTAATAAAATAAACAACTTTAGGTTAAATAAGCTTAAATTATAGTGTTAAATACAAGACACTTCTGTGGCAGTTCTGTACAGAAATAAACACATTTGGCATTGTAAGTGTGGTTCACTGGCGCTCGCTCTAATGCTCTACAAACCACTACATAAGAACCTATTCTGCTGTGTTAAGCTACACACACACACGCGCACACACACACATCCACACACACACACGCACATCCACACGCACACACACACAGTTTTATCTCAGTGAGCCACAGACAAGGCATGTGTTTATAAAACAACTAAAAGCAGAAAGAAAACGAGTCAATTTACAACCAGTTTCAGGCACAGTCTCTTCCAGCTTTATAAATACACGTCAAAAAAAAAAAAAAAAAACTCTTCACCTCTTCACGTCTGTGCTAAATCCTTAAAAAAACAACAAAAAAACAAACAAACACAGTTTTGTAACTACCACTTTGTTATTGCTAGGACATTGTGACAGTGAATGGAAACTACTGACAAACGTGAGTGGAGGAAAGAAGCACCTTTAAACATCCAGATTACTGCCATGTGACCCTACGAGACGACAGGGAGCGAAAGCAACGATGACCGGACCTGAAGCCGCACTTCACACTGCGACACTTTCAGGAAAATGTTCGTGGTTGTTTGGAGCGACGGGCTCACCGACAGCTGACTCGGGAAGTTCTCACAACCGACAAGTCCCGTCTTTGATCTGAATATACCGGGCGAGTCAAAAGTCTCAGGACACCCTTTTATTTCAGAAACAAAAAGGAAAATAAAAAAATCTAAAAACCTCCAACAAGTAACGAGCGAGTGGTGAGAATTTTAGAATACATCCGGAACATGGCCGCCATCTTGAAAGCCGCCATAATGRATCAAGGTCAAATCTTTCCAATGGGACAGTGGTTATGTAGAGCAGTGGTTCCCAACACTGGTTTTTAAAGGGCCTGTGGCATGCTTATCCTTCAAATAGAAAAAGTAAAAAAAAAACATATATATTTAAGAAAATTAGCATAATACACATGATTTGACCCATTTTGTCTCATAACTGGCATATTTTCTCTTGAATTTGGCTCAGCAAAGTGAAACAGGAAGTGACATCAAAGGGGACTCTTTAAGAAAAGAAACTCTCTAGTCTTTATTTATTGAAACAATCATTTAAACTCTTTTTCAACTCTTATAGTGGCTCAAAAATAATCTAAAGAAACATCAGTTTCTTCTCTAATTGTTGTAGCAGTGCTCTGTTYACATGCAGACATACCTCTGACATCACTTCCTGTTTCTTCACATGCAAACATCTCAACAAATGTTCATCTCAATGGCGTGAAATTTGTTTAGCAACATGTTATCAATGATCTCTTTCCAAAAACACATTCAAATTTATTACAAACATTTGATGTCACAGGTACTTTAAGGACTCCTGTCCTGCATGRTTTAATGTTTCCCTGCWTTGACACAMCCGGTTTGAATGACTGAGTGATTAACAATCTTCTGAAGAYCTGCTGAACATCAGGGAAACAAGTAAAACATGAAGGATAGGGGTCYTTGACGACCAGGGTTGGGAACCACTGATGTAGTGTATCAAAGACCAGAACCTCAGAAATGGATTGTTGCAATCAAATGTGCAACATCTCTAGTGATTCAAAATAATACAGACACTCACAGGTGTGTGCAGCAGCAACATAGGCTTGTTGTTGTTGCAACTTTATAGTGTTTAACTTTTGAACCACCAGAAATAATGAACATCTGATTGCAGCAATCGTTAGCCTGGGTCTTCCCTTCCTTACACAGTTCAGCTCTGTTCTAGTTCCCCTTCTCTGCTCCGTCTGGGATTTCTCCCAAAGACGAGGATTTCTCTGGTAGAATTTCAACTGGACCAACCAGCGAACAGAAGGACTTGTGATCGACGACGCTGCGCGGTTTTATTCTAAATGTAGCTTAGCAATGGCAGCGGAGGAAGTGAATAGCTGCGTTTCCTTTGACCATAAAAATGCGCAAATTAGAATTTCGAAAATAAATTTGCTCAATGGAAACACGTCAAWTTTGAAAAAACTTCATTTATTCGACAAATTTTTTTGCGCTAGGATGAGGTGGTTTTTCGGCCGTATCAAAATTGGTGTTTTCTGTAAAACTGCAATGGAAACACTTTTTCTGCATCACGGGAGTCACGTGATCAACAACCGTCTGTTTCTACTGGCGAAAAAAAATGACGACGACAACAGGAAGTAGAAGTAGTAGCAAAATCACCAAAGTGATGAAATAAAGTAGTAAACTCACCGACTACAATTTCCCAAAAACACAGCATATGTAGCCGCTCCCAAGTATAAGGGGCTTGTCGCTCGAAAGCCTCGATAAGACGCCGACGTCTCCTCTGATGATGAGCGCTAGTGTCGTGGTAGCAATTATGCAAGTGTTTACATTCATTGCTGCCATGTTTGTAATGATTTATCGTGAAAACAAATGTATTTACCTGTGGCTTTAATAGCATTTCTTACTTAATGGAAACATCGCAATTGCAAAACTGTGTTTTTTCGACATTAACAGAATATCGACAAAGTTTTGTGCACATTTGCAGTGGAAAYGCAGCTACAGAAGCCTCCTATAAAAACTTGCCCTCGATCAAATATGGTGACTTTTAAGATGGCGGCCATTATCCGGGCATAGCCTAAAAGAAAGACCCCCTCACCCATTACTTGTTCAGATATTTCAATTTCCTTCCCGTTTCTCGAATAAAAAGGGTGTCCAGATACTTTTGACTCACCCTGTATAATCTCAAACCTGAATAAAGTCATTGTAACAAAACATTGTGTAAAATGTAAACAAAAACGAAAAGCAACAATCCGTATTTTCCTCACATTTTGGACTGAAAACGATCAGATTTCTGCGGCAAAAAAGTGGAGCAGCGTGAGCCCCGGCTTCAAAAAACAAACAAACAAAAAAAACCTTAAAAAACATCAAACGAGTTTCTAACTTTGGGAACTAGAACCTCAGAGAGGGAAAAGAAGGATCTCAGTTGAGCTACATTCATCCCCTCCCTCCCCCCTCCGCCTCGAGCCCACCACATGTGGCGTCCCCTCGGTGCAATCAGACAGTAAGTGTCACTTCATTTAGTGGAGTACATTCCTCCTCCGCCCCCCTCCCTGTGAACAGCTGGGTGACGGTGTGCGCAGTGACGTACAGCTCAGCAGACGGTACAGCAGACCCACGGGTTTATGGGTAGGTAGGTTAAATGTTGACTACAGTGAATGAGCTTTACATTCCACTACTGTAAGAAGATCCAGAGGGGCTCGGGGGGGAGGGGAGGCCCCCTGAGAGGGACGTCTCTCTCAATTTCTGTCCAACGAGACGGGAAAAGACCAGCCTTCAGCTTGAGAGGAGGACGGTCCGGGTCTCTCACACAGTGCAGAGTCTGTAATACTCTTGGTAAAAGTTTCATTTTAAGATTGTTTTACTTGTCGTGGGGGGAGGGGGGGGGGKGTTTAACGGCAGCGTCCCGGGTCTCAGGGTTTCTTGTCGATGGTGTGAAAGAACCACTCGGTGAACTTCCTGAGCTGAGCCGCGGCCGTCTGGCTCTCCTCCTGCAGCCGCATGTTGTCCTGCCTCAGGTGCTGCACCTCCTCCTGCAGCATGGCCTTGTCCTCCTTCTCCTGAGCAAACCAGGAGAGACAGAAGCACAAAGACAGAGACGTGAGGAGAATTCACCGGGAGCTCCGGGGCTCGGTAAGGACAGGAAGCAGGATRTCAGACCTGGAGGCTGGAGAAAATACAGTAAATAAATAAAAAACTCACCTTTCTGAGGTCGTGCTGCAGCTGCCTGAGGATCACCTCCAGCTGGTTGACTTTACCGGTCAGAGTGGACGGAGAACCGCTGCTGGTCGACACAAACACGATGACTCARCATTTCCTTTAATACAACCTGGTTTGGTTTTTATTATCAACATTTACTCTCAGATTAGTCCAAGCAGCAGGACACCAGGGCTGTGTAAAAACACAGATTCATGGGCWGGAGACGGACCTTTCCTCATCGAGTCTTGTACGTGATGAAGATGAGGGGAGTATCTAAATTTTGTCCCTCCTGGCTTGCCGTATGTTTACAACCAGTTGACGTTCAGCGCTAACGTTAGCTTCTGACAACAASGGGCAAAACAACAGAAACTAAGGAATCATTAACATTAGCAGCTAAAGATGACAAGGACTRTGGTGCCTTTTAAGATTTACTCTCGTACTGCAGAACAGGGTTATTCCAGTACATTTCTCCGGGGGCCATGGTTACTGCAGGTCAACAGCTCAGGGGCCGAACATCCAGCAAAGTTATTATGTAAATAAACCAAGTATTACAAAGATCTGTTACCTTTGAAATAATTGATTTTGCTGTATTTAATCATTAATACAA